GCTCCAATATAACAGCATTTGTTTTTTGAAATAAGGCGTTTTTGCACCTTACAAAGTAATGGTCAAGACAAGATTTAGAATCACCCACCGTCCTAGTAGCCCTATTTATCCTACTGAAAAAGCCATAACTTTGCAGAACCGTTAAATAGTTGTTTGTTGCATCCATGTTTGTGTCTAGTAAGTCAATATTGATATCTCCAACAAAAATATACATTCTATCCTGATCAAAATTGCTCCTTCCAAATATACAATTTAAATTGTCTATAAACTCCTCTTTAGTTGTCAAAAAAACCTCTATATGTTGCCAATATATCCACAGCTACATTATTTTTTTGTACTGAAGCTTCAAGAATTTTTAGGTTATTCTCAATTAACAGCTGATGATCAACTAAATATTCCTGTTTCACATAAACAACACAACCATCGCACTTGTTTAATGAACTATTATTATAATTTAGGTACAATATAACCTGGTATGTTAAAGTCACTCAAATTGTATAAATGGAGAGTCTCTGACATCACTATAACATCAAAGTCCTTCTCTGTGGACTCCAAAAAGACCAAGAATTGGTTGAAGTTTTTGTATATGCTTCTAATATTTACATGTATTACATTTATATCATGCTTGGGGTTATTGAAGAAAGATGTCCCAGTTATATTATCACATATGTATGTTTCACAAGCCTTAAAGTCGTCTAATATATTATTTGGTTCCATGAATTTTACAACTATATTTCATTGGCAATAATAATAATAATTCTATTAAATAATTTCAGATCTTATTTTTATTGGTGCATCTTGTTCTGTCTTTTTGAGGAAAATAGTGCCATTTAGACAAAAGGCCGCTCCAAATCCTTTATTCTGCTTAAATTCTCTTACTTTTTTGAACAGAATCCTTTTATTCATGGTAGGTCTTCATTCAAATAGATCTTCTTTTCTGTTCCTTCCAAGCCACATTTTTTTACTGTTTTCCCTTCATATGTTTTATTGTTCTCAGTACATCTTTTTTCATATGTACATTGCTAAATTTGACTAAAATTGGTCTATGTTGCTAATCCTATAGCAGTCCAAAATGCTCTGTTGCTGCATTTGTACGTTTATGGACGTTAAAATTTTGCCCACGATTTTTTTCGGGCAAGGATCAGGCTGTTTTGGAACATCCGTCACAATAATGTTGCACTCTTTTTCTTTGGCTTCCATTTCATCCAATTTGGTCTCCAGTTTAGCCATACGTTGCTTTAATTCACTATTTTTCTGAGTACTTTTAACTCATCCAAGACGTTCTCAAAATTGGTTTTCTGGTCCTCAAAGCTGTTCGACATGTACTGAACGGAAGCTTCCAAGTCAGCCAGCTTTTTGTCCATTTTTTTCTCTACTGGATTAAGAAATTGTTGGAAGGACTTAATGATAGGGACCACGATCACACTGTCACATAAAAATGGGGAATCACAACGCACCAACACTAGGCAGCTTTGGTCGAGGACATGCTAACTAGAAGGTACTGAGACGCATAGCTCGAAATTTTCAATGATGGTGGGGGTACAGGGACGTCACAACGCCAGTTAAGGGTTAAACTAATGAGAATAACTTACATTTGAGTGAGTCAAGTTAGTATCATAATTAAACAACATATTGATGAATAGATAGCTGCGGAACTCGCTGCGCTCGTCCCGCAGAGGTCCACCCATAAGTATCGTAACAATTCACTCAGTTGTACTTAAATAACTTGTCACAATATACTACTAGTTTGGTAAAGTAACATTACTAATTCCTGTTGAAAGGCGAATTGATAAAAAGTGAATAATCATAATCTTACAAATTTTGATTTTATATAATAGTTTATTGTTCAAGTACAAATAAGTGGATTTTTGCGGACCTTATGGGTGGACCTCCGCAGCCATCTACTCAGCAATATAATGCTGAACTGTTTAAGTAAAACATCGACCTGAACCTTGTAGTTTTTAAACTAATGAGAATAACTTACATTTGAGTGAGTCAGGTTAGTATCATAATTAAACAACATATTGATGAATAGATGGCTGCGGAACTCGCTGCGCTCGTCCCGCAGAGGTCCACCCATAAGCTTCGCAACAATTCACTTATTTGTACTTAAATAACTTGTCACAATATATTACTAGTTTGATAAAGTAACATTACTAATTCCTGTTGAAAGGCGAATTGATAAAAAGTGAATAATCATAATCTTACAAATTTTGATTTTATATAATAGGTTATAAGTTCAAGTACAAATAAGTGGATTGTTGCGGAACTTATGGGTGGACCTCTGCGGGACGAGCGCAGCGAGTTCCACAGCCATCTACTCAGCAATATACTGCTGAACTGTTTAAGTAAAACATTCACCTGAACCATGTAGTTTTTAAACTAATGAAAATAACTTACATTTGAGTGAGTCAGGTTAGTATCATAATTAAACAACATATTGATGAATAGATGGCTGCGGAACTCGCTGCGCTCGTCCCGCAGAGGTCCACTCATAAGTTCCGCAACAATCCACTCGGTTGTACTTGAATAACTTGTCACAATATATTACTAGTTTAATGAAGTAACATTACTAATTTCTGTTGAAAGGTGAATTGACAAAAAGTGGATAATCTTACAAATTCTGACTTTATATAATAAGTTATTGTTCAAGTGCGAAGTGTTTTTTTTTTCAATGGTTGACACCCCACCAGCCTTCACCTTTATAGGTAGATGAAAGGTATAAATACAAAAGTTGTACAGTATTGGCTAAATTTTTAGAATTCATGATCAAAAACAAAAATTCAATGTCAGAAATGTGAAATGTTGAATATTTTCAGCTTTTTTCAAATGGATACCTATGCAGTAGTCTAGTCTTATAAAAATAGGTAAAACAGGCTGCAGTTAGTTGTACAACATAACGCTATGCGACCAATTGACTAACCAACAACAACGCATGCCTTTACTGATCTGACAACACTGTTCCAAAGTTTTCCAAAATCTAAATCATAAGGTTGTAGCAAAACACCCCAAGTATTCTATGTAATTGGTTAGATGGTAAATGGCGAGCAGTATATTGATGGTGTTTATTTCCTTGGAGATGCTACCTTTAAAATTGTGGAGGGATTCGCAAAAGAGAGAAACAAACTATTGAGGTTTACTAAATTATATTTTATTATACATAAAGCCAAAAATTCAAATAAGCAAAATATCTTTCAATTCTGACAGCCACTTCTATTTTTCCCAATTCAAATTATTTCACATCCGTTCAAATGTCATTATTACTACGTCTACTATTCTCAATAACTTGAATATGAATATAAAATAAATATGTTTATACATTTCAACCCTTCCGATTCATTCCTATTAAACTTCTCTTCACCTACATCTATAAATTCTTAAAAATTCCTGAGTCCTTTACTGACTGCTTATGCCAAATCAAAATAATTGTTTGTTTATTAATATAAGTAATACTAACTTATTCATAAAAAAACCTTACAATAATTTCTACATGACAAATAAAAACCCCCCCCTCAAAATTTTGGCATTAAGATCATCAAAGTTTCATTTCGAAACTTCCCATTTACATATAATGGTTTATTTAAATCAAAACAATTACTATTTTCGGATTCCTAGCCAACAAACAAAATTATTTATTTCTTATTAGATTCGTTACTATAGCCCTTTAACTTCAATTTGGACAATCCAATTCAAAATTCTTTAATAATTCCTACTCAAAATCGATACTTGTTGAGTGCATTATAAATTCCCTTTTTAATTCTTTGCAAAATTAATTAAAATGTCATTATACTCGAGGGCAATTACAGTTATGCCATAATGTTGCATAGTCAAAACACTCGAGTTATTACTATTTATGCAATAAAGTCCCAAAGTTAATTCACTTCATAGGCATTCATCATTTATAAAGTCAAAAGTTTTACTAGTCAAAATCACTCAAGTTTTTAGGCATTAAAAGTCATTATCAATTCACTTCTTATCATTTAGAATCATAGTTAAAAGTCAGAAAAATAATAATCACCAAATTACTTACACTTAACTTTTCACACGTAAAATTACTCAATTTAATTTACTTCAAAAAATCTCTAGAGCACGCACATAATATTGAAGGAATGTTTCTTTTACAATTTTCCGTTACTTTTCAAAGACTTTTTCCCGAGGCAATACAAGAAACTTTCACGAATTTTACTCGGACGGACACATTAGGTAGGTACTGTAGACTTTAACTCAAACTGGACTGAACTAACAACTCAACTTTCAACAGGTGATCTCAATAATTGAAACCGCTGTATTTATATTATTTGATCCCCCCAAAATTTCTTTGTCCATCACAATTGTGAGGATTATGCAATCTCCTTTGTTATTTGTTTAAAATCGAATAATTATGTCTCAATTTCCTGATTTATAGGGATCAAAAACTTTAGTTTAAGAATGTGAGGGCAACACAAAGAAAGCCGGCACACGTGTGCCATAAATTATTGATTTAATTACTATGGCCTTGCTTTTATTATTTTAAAGAATTTGATTTAGATGATGACACAGGCTGGGTGACGAAATAATATAATTTCGAACGTATTTGGGGTCATCGTTAATTTGTTTCATTTTCAATTTATTGTTACTGATTTGAAATACATGAAATTCAGTTTTTGATTATTTGATTACATTTAATTTTCACAGTAAAGACATTGTAAATATCGGGACTATTTTTCCAGATCATTACAAGATAGGTACTTACTAAAACGATGAAATTTCATTTTTTTTTTTGGTTGAGATTTTGTCCTCTGATATCCCCCAAACTACATACACTAAATTTATCGCCCAACAATTTTCACGTTCTCTAAAAATATACGTTCGACAAACTCTTCCACAAACAACAAAGTAATCGAACTAAAGCTCCGAGCAATATACAATCGTTAGGCAAAAGTGCCCAGGTGTACGCTCTACTCTCTAATATACTCCGAAATATAAATGATTGCCAGCTCAAAATTTCAACTTTGTTCCAGTACGTTTCGCTTTTGAGGCCTCCGCTTTGTGACAGTTCGGCGCCGGGTGCCGAAGCCATTAACAAGGTCGAATGGAAGCAAGTAAGTAATTTAACCCGAAAAAATAAACTGAAACAAAATTGAATAATTGCGTGAACAAAACAATTTTCCTCAACCCCAACATATAACAAAAAGCCCCCAAAGTTGACGTCTAAAGCTAAATTGGTTGTGCTTAAACCTTGGCAAGATAGTTAGTTAATAATGGTAATCCGTCTCTGAGAAATAGACGAAACTTTGGAGCTTTAAATTCCTGCATTTAATATGGAAATATATGCTCGGCGCTTGAATGCTGGATCAAACTGTGTAATTTATTTTTAGGTCTTTGATATTCTTTGGTCGGATCCGCAAGAGACTAGAGGCTGTATACCGAATACTTTAAGAGGTGCTGGTACATATTTTGGACCAGACGTCACTAAGAAATTTTTAGAAGACAACCGATTGTCTTATGTTGTAAGATCGCACGAATGTAAAGTCGACGGCTACGAATTATGCCATGAGAATTTGGTAAGTTGGTACTTTTGTCTATATTATAAATTATTTAATGTTTGCAGATTATAACTATATTTTCTGCTTCAAACTACTACGAAATCGGTTCCAACAATGGCGCCTATGTGAAACTGATGGGTCCAAACTTGGAACCGCATTTTGTCCAATACATGGCCAACGCAGGCAGAAGGAAACTGAACTTTTTCCAACGAATGGGGCTGGTCGAATCCGGTGCCACCAAAGAATTACAAGCTCAAATTTTGAATAATAGACACATGATTGAAGGGGAGTTTGCTAAGCATGATCCTGAGAACACAGGTAATAATTGTTGCAAAACATTTGATTTTTTACAAATCGTTTCTTGTTTAAGGTCTAATTTCCATTACTCATTGGTGTACGACGATGGAAAAATGCACAGGACTACAAATACCTTGGAGATTGTTAAAGGAAAAATTGGTTACGATCGATCCGGATACAAAAATGGTGCATTACCAGTCGACGTTTGATATTAAAAGCAGTAAATTAAACGTTAGTGAATTGCAATAGTAGATTTTTAGGAAAAATATATATAAATTTGTTGTAGAGCGTCCAAGGAGCAAGTACTGTAGTGGAAACTCTTTATAGGAACAAGAGCAGCTTAGAGGCAATCTTTCGGATAATTGACAAAGATAATTCAGGTATAGATTGTGCATACATGCATGATGAAATTGTTACTTAATTGAATAACTTGGCAACAGTGGATTAGAGTATCTATTTTTTTTTTCTCTTAAGTGTCTCAGAATCATCCCAGCTATACTACTAACATTAGGTTTTGCTATGACGACTTATAAGCACAGATTCAGTTGCCAAGTTATTCAAACATAAAACAACATCAAATAAAATAACTCTTCGTCCACAGGTTACATAAGTTTAGATGAATTGGCAGACGCCTGTAACCTAATCAAAGAGCACATGCCTTGCAATATGACAGAAGACCAACTTTCGGAAATTTGTCGCCTGATGGACATCAACAAAGACGGTCTCGTAGATTTGAACGAATTCTTGGAAACTTTCAGAATGGTAGATCCGGAAAGTAAATTCAAAAACATGCCTAACAGTCCTGACAATAGTAATCTGAGTAGTCGCAGTCCGCGCGGTAATTATAGTAAAGAAAACGGGGAGAAAAATAGTATATTTGTAGAGGCTGCCAATTCTATTAGAAACGAAGAACAGCTGTCGCCTTCTAATCAAGGCGAAAAATTTTCTTTGAAGGTTCAAGTGCACAACCAAGAAGGCGTTGAAGTTGATAATAATTGTCACAGGAATGGGTTGAAGGCCTCGCCTGTTCTGAGCAGCAGAAGAGGATCACAAATTTAAAAATGAATTTTTTAATGGCCGAAGTACAAATTTCTACATTAACTGGCCTTAAATTAAACAAAAATATTTATTAGGTAAATTTATTTGTGGGACAATATCTTGGAAAGTATAGGTAGTCTTCAGGTTGTTGGTGCTTTACGGGATGATACAAGATTTTTCTACTATCTACTAGACTTTCCTAGATAATTATTAAATATTTGAAAAATTAGTATTATTAAATAAATGGCTATAATAATACATAATGCAAATAAAATATATGATATTACAATTTAGGAGGATAAGTCATACATATGAGCAATAACCTACGTTCAATTACAAATCTGTTTCAACGATGCATTTTGATCCAAAATGTCCTTTAACAGGAAACCTAAACTAATTTAAGAGCTTATGTAGAGATGTTATTATATTTTTAAAACATGATTTTCTATATAGTGAGAAAAGTTATTTGTTCCAGTTTGTTGTTAGATGTCAATATATCAATATATATATATATAGTAAAAACTAACAAATAAAATATACGCTTCGAAATTATAGAACAGGGTATGGCGGGGATCATTTTGCCTTAAGTCAATGATTCATCTATTGATTGACCGATAATATTTGTTTTGGACCTCACTTGTCATGTTTTTTGGTAAGTAGAATGTTTCATTATTGTAATGGGGTACTTCCAACATGTGCATTGGGTTTTTACACTTGATCAGTTCTGCTAGTGAAAATCAACTCTCTGTTCTATAACTTAACAGTCCTAAGTTTTGGTCTTTCCATTTCAGAATTATATTCTTGGCTATTTTTGCAGCAGATTCTGCCTGCCCATTTTATTGAGGATATGATACCTAGTGTAATAATATTGTTATACTCAATATCGTATCGTATCAAGTTCTTTATTAAATTATAAATATGATCTCAACAAGATCTAACCTTATTATTATTATCTCTATGTTAACAGGACAACTGAAACTCACCTCTATATTTATTATAGGTGATGTCCACAGTCTACTGTGTACATTAATTTAAATGAAACTATATCTATTATTACACCTTCCCCTTTCCTTCTGAACAGAAAAACTAAATAAACTATACTTTAAATAACCCAAACTAATATCCAGTGGCGGATACAAAAAAAAAGAAAACAAAACCATATTTTAAGTTTTAAGAATGTTTAGAAAGCTGGAATCCTATAAAAAAATCACACTTTTGTCTTTGTCCCAAGAACTTTAATCTCAAACAGTAGGTATATCATTAGTGGTTGAGTTGATTTATTGCTTTTTTTTTGTTCTAATTTAAAAATATTTATACAAAATCAATAAGACTATGTACAGGGTGTTTTTTTATATATTGACATCCCAACTACAGCCTTTACCTTTATAGGTAGATGAAAAATGTAAATACAAAAGTGGTACAGTATATATATTGGCTAAATTTTTAAAATCTATGGTCAAAAACAAAAATTGAATGTCAGAAATATGAAATATTGCATGCTTTCAGCTTTTTTCAAATGGGATGCACTATATTTTGGTTCTATATCCATGAGGAGCACAATTTCCCGATTCCAAAACTATACAGGGTGTATCAGGTTTGACTACAAAAATTTTAACACATGAAAATATGGCCCATTTTGAACAAAAAAAGTTTATACAACATGGGGTCCAAACTCAACCATTTTTAAGAAAAAGGCCTTCGAAGTTTTAACATTTTTTTGATAAATATTTTAAAATTAAAGAAAATTTTAATTATTATGAGATGTAGAAAAATTTAGTTTATCCAATTATTAAGTAATTTTTTAGTCAACAACAATAACAAAAAATCGGAAAAACAACATACAAATTTCACTTGTAAAAGGGTATCTAAACATCTGGCAACACAGCACAATAAAGAAAAGGTGGTTGAAGGTTGAACCTTAGTGGAGCTGAATAAATTGATTCTTGATTTGTCTTTCCTAGTTGGGAAACGCGCGTAATTCAAATTCATTTTTTTTTTAAAGTAAAATGTTTAGAAACATCGAATATGCAGATACTTGTTTAGACAGAATCGTTGCCAAATGCTCATTTAGCTACCAGAATTCACAGTAAAACTAAGGAAAGATTTTCCGAGAGAAAATCACTCATCTGATGGAAGAACATTGTGCCCGTGTTACAAAGATTGCGTGATACAAGAAGTGTGAGTTGTGAGTGTGCAAAATCTGCGAGTTGATTTTAGTGTTTTGAGAACTTTTCAACAAAAATTAATATTTTCATAATAAGGATTCGACAAGTAGCTGAGTAAGTATTATTTGATTTTTATCTTGAATGTTTATTGCAAAAATGTCCTTCAATGCAATTCACAACTTAATAAAATGGCACATTTTTTATTTTTACTAGAAAAGTGATAAAAATGCAAGTTGTTATTTGCATTATTTGAAAGTCAATAACAAACCAAATTGTGAACCGATGAAAATAAATAAACGCCGTGCAAAAAAAAGTCTCAAATTTACCAGTTTTATTTACACTTATATGGTGGCAGAGATAAATACCTGTACAATGTTGTCACGTTCTTGATATTTTTCTAAATTTAAATTCTGCCATAACTCCGAAAACACTAACAATTGACCCATGGTCAATAGGACACTTTTAGCTTGAAATGGACCATATTATCTCATGTTAAAATATTTGTACTCATACCTGATACACCCTGTATAGTTTGTCTATATTTGGTTGAGCCGTCTCTAACATATTTGGTTCTAAAAATTTTTAAAACACTATCAGAGAAATCAATTACCTCAAATTTTACCTGCAGCTTTCACCTGTACAGATAGAATAGTTCACAAAATCAGTGGTAGGATAGTATTTTTACAATTTTTGGAGCTAAATATATGAGAGATTGCTCAATCAAATATTGTTCTCATCAAGAATATAGAATGAAATATAGGGCATCCCATTTGAAAAAAGCTGGAAGCATGCAAAATTTCACATTTCTGACATTCAAATTTTGTTTCTGACCATGGTCGCTAAAAATTCAGCCAAAACTGTACAACTTTTGTATTTACACCTTTCTTCTACCTGTGAAGGTAAAGGCTGTAGGTGGGGTGTTAATATATAAAAAAAACACCCTGTACAAATAAGTGGATTAATGCAAAACTTATGGGTGGACATCTGCGGGACGAGCGCAGCGAGTTCCGCAGCCATCTACTCACCAATATACTGTTGAACTGTTCAAATAAGACACTCACCTGAAACGTGTAGTTTTTGAACTAATGAGAAAAATTCTCAACTGAGTAAAATCAGGTTTAGTATTGTACTTGAACAACATATTGGTAAATAGATGGTTAGGTCCACCCATAAATTCCGCATCAATCCACTCGTTTGTAGTTGAATAACTTGTCACAATATATTACTAGTTTGGTAAAGTAATATTACAAATTCTTGTTAAAAGGCCAATTGACAAAAAGTGGATAATCTTACTAATTCTGACTTTATATATAATAAGTTATTGTTCAAGTATAAATAAGTGGATTGTTGCGGAACTTATAAGTAGACCTCTGTGGGACGAGCGCAGCGAGTTCCGCAGCCATCTAATCACCAATATACGGTTGAACTCTTCAAGTAAGACATTCACCTGAAATGTGTAATTTTTAAACCAATGAGAATAACTTACATTTGAGTGAGTCAGTTTAGTATTGTAATTAAACAACATATTGATGAACAGATGAATGCGGAACCCGCTGCGCTCGTCCCGCAGAGGTCTACCGATAAGTTCCGCAACAATGAACTTATTTGTACTTGAACAATAACTTATTATATAAAGTCAGAATTTGTAAGATTATCCACTTTTTGTCAATTTGCCTTTCAACAGGAATTAGTAATGTTACTTTATCAAACTAGTAACATAATGTGACAAGTTATTCAAATACAAATAAGTAAATTGTTGCGGAACTTATGGGTGGACCTCTGCGGGACGACCGCAGCGAGTTCCGCAGCCGTCTAATCACCAATATACTGTTAAACTGTTCAAGTAAGACATTCACCTGAAATGTCTAATTTTTAAACTAATGAGAATAACGCACATTTGAGTAAATCAGTTTAGTATTGTAATTAAACATATTGATGAAAAGCTAGCTGCGGAACTCGCTGCGCTCGTTCCGCAACAATTCACTTATTTGTACTTGAATAACTTGTCACATTATGTTACTAGTTTGGTGAAGTAACATTACTTATTCCTGTTGAAAGGCAAAATGACAAAAAGTGGATAATCTTACAAATTCTGACTTTATATAATAAGTAGAGTCCGGATTTCAAGGCATTTTGCTTTTCGTTAATATTACAAGCAATTATAAGACAACTCAAAATATTGACGAATTAGACAAAAAGAATCTCAAAAATGCACTGTTTTTAATGCTTATTTTGCTTTTTTTCAAATTTGATGCTTATTTTATGGGTTTGTGCTTATTTACAGCTTTTTTTAGATTTTTTGTACTGCAAAAGTATATCAATATCGCAAATGAACAAACCTTTTGTCTCGCAAGTTTTGGCCGTTATATTTTTTCTTTTAAAAATAATACGCGTGAAACCCCAGCCCAAAAGTAGATGGTTATTTTCAGGTAGAAAGTACTGAGTCAAGGCCAGTTTCTCAATATCAAGTCACCCCCATGTTAAGCATATTTCCAGAGTGAACATTCCATTTGGGCACGTTTACCTTAGAGTTAAAACCAACCCGGAGGTGACTCGCTATTGAGAAACCGACCCTATGAACCCAGATGTGATGACAAAATTCAAATATGAGTCCATAACAAGTGTCGACGTAGAAAGAAATTTTTCCGACTACAAAAACTTCTTAATAGTCTAAGAGCCAGTGAATTTTTTTCCGTAAAAAGTTGCCGATTGACAATTTCTTGCTTAAACGATGTAGTATTATGCCTCTTGATCGAAAACCATAGTCTGGCAGCATGTGGTGGGGAAGTTTAGCGTGGGCACAATTAATAAGTCATTAAAAAATTCGCGAAATTCGAAATATTTGCCGATGGTCAATTTTTACGGGATATCATTCAAAAATGCGCCATTAACAAGGCTGTGATAATGCCAGACGGTTTTTACGGGATTAAAGCCTTGCCAGACACCCCCAAAGTGAAAAAAAATAAATTAAATTTTCGAAATACTTGCCGAAACCTTGTTTTTTTTTTAATTGAAGAGAAAAAAATTGCGAATTGAACGCACCTAGTGCCAGACGGTTTTAGCGAGGATTAATACTTACCAGACGACGCCAAGGCAATATTTGGCTTTGTCAGAGGAGCACTTGTTATTTAGAGATTGGTTCCTCGTAAATTTCTCCACCATATTAGAGGAGTTACCTTATTTGTTTCTCTCCACAAAAATTGTTTTCCCCAAAGACCTTGTCTGTCTCTATAATCTGCCAGTTCATTTCTGAGGTGAGTGATGTCTAATTTTAGTTTTGAAGCAAGGTCACTTATAAAATCTAGGGCATCAATAATTTCTTCTGGGCTAAGAAAACTTCCTTGTGAATAGGGATCTAGCAAAGCTCAATTCTTCCTCTCAGAAATTTTGTATAAAATAATAAAGCTTTTTGTAACGGAGATTGCGGTAAAAATTCAATTAGCTTTTTTCCAAATTATTAATTTCATAGGAGACTGTACGGGTGTCCCACTAAGGTCGGCCAGGTACGATATTATGGAGACCATAGACCTCACGTAACTTGAAAACCAATGCAGATATTGAATTGCGGTTTGCGCCAAAATGTAGATATTTTTTTGCTCTTTAAGCACAGCAATTCAAAAATAATATTATGCCATTTGGATTTTTCATTAAAATTAGAAAAAGCTGGATCTTGAATAAACAGCGCCCTCTAGCAGACGCGGTGGGAACTATCGACCTCGAACGAAGTGGTTTTCTTAATAACAATGAAATTCTCTTCCAAATAAACCCAAATTGAATGAGTTTGAATGAGGGGTATGGAAGATACAGCAATTTTTCACCAGCTTCCCCCACCCTTATTACTGAAGATACGAAAAAAAGCCTAATAACCAAACTGGCGCAAAAATTAATGAACTTTTGATTTCTGTTGTTAAAACAGTATCTTAATATAGCGATTTCTTGAGAAAAGTTGAATTTTTAGCTATATCATCGTAATTGCGCCCCCTAGCGGTCATCCTAGAATCTTGAAAATAATTTCCATCAATTTCTCTTAGCCGATTTAGTGAAGAAAGAAAAAATCCCGAAGCCGTAAAGTCTATGGTTTCCATAATATCGTACCTGGCCGACCTTAGTGGGACACCTGGTATCTATGAGGGGCTCATTTGATTCAAATTCTGCTATCAAGTCTACTATTGGCTTTAAAATAAAAATCATTTTTTCTACTCGCACCCAAAATATGGAATCATCAAGTATTTTATTTTTTAGTTTTTGCGGCACTTCTGTTTCATCAGTTACTGCTAATGTTTATAATACTACTTTATTCGAGTACATACTTTGTAAGCTGAATAAATGACTTCCCCATCTGGTCTTTCCAGCAAGCTTCAAAGCAATATTAATATTTTTATCTTTCCCGATTTTTACAAACACTGCTTGAAGCAAATGACTCCTTTTTAATGTTTTTATTACGTCGGTTACTTGATTCATGAATGTTTTGACAGAGTCACAATTCAATATATAATTACATAATAAGTGGGGCAAAGTCTAAATGTTTCATTTAATAATCTGAAAGATGCTCAAAAAATTCCTCTGCTCCGTATTTTTTCCATTATAATTTGCATTTGCTGGGCTAGATATACAGCATCATGTCTATTTTCTTCGGTTAATAAAAAATCATCAAATCTAGGTTCAGGCATAGTTACCACGAAATTAATTATTGATTCATTTCTCAAATTGCTCTAACCATCACATTGTAGGTGTAAATTTTTCGAATTATCCAACTCCCCTTTAATTTCAGTTTTCATTGCATTATATTCAGTATCCAAAAGTGTGGTTGATACGCGCTTGCTGGAAGGCAAAGTATAAGATGGCCTGATTTTCTAAAAAAACTTGATTCATAGTGTGTGTTCTACCAATGAAAGAGGGCTTCCACTGATTGATATTGCCCTAGCAAGGCCTCGGTTTAGCTGCTCTTGCAACAAAACGAATAGTGTCAAAATGTTCCTTATAATTGGCCAAATAACTGATTAAATAATGCAAAATTGTAAATTGTTCTACGTCTCCAGACTTAAGAATACCTACATAGCATTAAGCATGGTGCTACTTCTATGTGATACTTACATTTTCTGATTCAGTAATTTTGTCAGCAAAAGATTCTATTTGAAACCGTTTTCTCTTTACACTACTAGTCGTAATTGGACTTATAACAGTGGACAAACTTGATGGTGATTGAGATTGGGCCTCATCATGATGAATCACACTTTGATCATCAATCTTTTCATTATCAGAATGTAAGTTTGAGTCTTCCATCATGTTGTTACTTTTGCCTCTCAACAGTTTTGTAACCCTTGGACTTGACGTTTTATTTGGGGTTACTCGCGGATAAACAACGTGTGGCCGCGGCGTACTATTTCCTCACCGGCGCGGCGTATGCGTGTGTACGCGATCACGGACGCGTAAAATACCTAACTTCGGCCAGGATTATTCCTCGCTAAAACCGTCTGGCATTAGGTGCGTTTGATCCGCAATTTTTTTTCTCTTATAAAAAAAAAGGTTTCGGCAAGTATTTCAAAAATTTTTTTTTTTTTGCACTCTAGGGGCGTCTGGCATGGCTTTAAACCCGTGAAAACCGTCTGGCATCGAAAAACACTGTCAAACACCTAGAAAGAAAATACACCAAATGGCTATCTTGAATTTTTCAAAAAAAAAATTTTTTTGCGAAAAGGTAGGGGGTGTTCACTTTATACTGGATCACCCTGTACATTAATTTAAATAAAACCATATCTATTATTATAATTATCATTTGCATAGTCATTGAGGAAGACGGAAAAATCGTTCTTCTGGGAACGTTGCTCTCCTGTTTCAAGAATAAGGACTCTGATATCAGCTAGGCTCTGCGCCGAGGGCTGCTATCCCGACTCTCGTGCGGCATTGCCGGCTCAAGTATTCTATGCCACAACTGCCATGGACATTGTGATATATCCATACTTTCTTTAGAGATAATAACAGCCCCGGGCCCGTGTCTCCACGAGGCTCAGCCAGATCTTCAATTCAATAAATTGTTAAAGGATTTTTGAGGTTGAAACAATGACGATGTCAAAATGGTCTCCACCCACCCTGATCTACTAGGATAATGATACTATTGTTGTTAAGGTATATTTAAGGATTTGTACAGGGTTTGATGCAATGCTGCTGACCCTGCACATTAAAATTTAACTATATTTCAAATTGACGGCTTTATAGTGAAACGAACCTAAATCTATAAAGTATCAACAAAAATATCAAAATATTATTATATATCTGTATGTTTTGTGGACCAATCTCTTTATATATATTGGACCAAAAAAAAAAAAAAAACAAAATTTCGTCCTCTCTTCCACATTGTATTGTGTAGATTTTTTTAAAACAATTTTTCCTGTACTTAACTAACATTAATTGTTTAGTTTTTTAAGTTGACAAGAGTATTTTGCATATTTTTTAAAACAACATTTATGTGTGTGTATGTATATTTTGTACCTACTGTTTACTGAAATGTTTAAAACAAATTATCGAATATTTAATACAATATTATATTATAGTTAAATATATAAGAATTCTAAAACAATAATACATTTAGTTTAATTAACAGGGGCATATTTTTGTATGGTTTCAATAAGACTATCATACAATAAGCTTTTAACATCTTTGGCTGTAATGAAATCAAGATGATTGAAAAAATCATATTCTACTTGGTGTAAGACTTTTGGAAATGTGCTCAGCTCATTAACAAAACGTGTCACATCCTAAAAATATCAAATTAATATGTATTTCCAAAAAATCATATGTACTCACATTTAAAGACACCATAAAATCATTTTTAGCATAGTACACAGCAAGAGGAGCGGTAATTTTCGAAACATTAAAAGCAGGCGGTGTCAATTGGCCATAATGTACTATATTGGCAACTTTGCCATAATCAAAACGTCTAAAATGACCCGAATCCATTTCTTGCACGTAATGTTTAATGTCTTTTATCGAAACTCCATTGGGGGTATTTGAAAGAAATACTGGTAATTTTTCCTAGAAAAAAAATATTGCATTATTGTCAACTACAATGAGTAGGTAAATTCAAGTTACTTTATCAACTTGGTCAGCATCAAATCCAGCAAATAAATCTATAAAAACAATACATAAAGGTTGAAGCGAACTTTGTTGGTTGCATAATAGACTTCCTAATACACCAATGGTTGGAGTGTATGCTATACCATGAATTCCCAAAAATGGTAATGCTAGCTAAAATATAACAGCTTATTGTTTGTTGTTGCACCAATCATAACTTACATCTAGAAGTGACTGATATTTGCTTAAAATTTTAGCCATAGGACTAGTAGCATTGCCCAAATATGCTACAGGACTCAGAAGCGTCATCAAATTGATTTTATCGTTGTATTCCGGCCTAGTAGTTGTCAGTACAATGCCGGTAGTGGCACCTTGCGAATGCCCAATGTAAGTAATTTTTTCAACCCCTGTTACATTAAGAATATGATCGATACTTGCCGGAATATCGTAGTAGCCTTTTTCGTAAAAACTAAAATCCCAATACGAAGCGTTTTTGGGTATTAGAGTTTTGTGACCCATTGAGTATGAGTTGCCTCTGTTGTTAGCTAGCCAAACATCATATCCTAAAATAGAATATATGTAGTATGAATATAAAGTACTCAATAAAATACCTAAGTCAGCTAAAAGCAATGCCAAAGCTTTATTAGGTCCAGGCCAGATCCAGTCCATGGAAGAGCAAGCGAGACAATGAACCAATAATACCACAGGTTTGTTTTTGGTACCAGTGTTGTTTCTTCCATGAGGGATTCTGTGTAACGATAAAATGTAATTGTCTTCAGTGGTTACTTGGTGCTGTTCCAGAGAGTAGTTGTATTTTTCAAGGAACTGGGTCTAAAAGGAAAATTGTATATTATTTGATAATGAAAGCTTTTCGAATAAGGTTGAAATAGGCAAGTACCTATTGGTACTTTCAGTTAGTAAATGATCCTTGTCCAAAGTGATGTAGGTAAAGGGTGGTTTTTTTATGTATTGACACCCTAATTACAGCCTTTACTAGAAGAAAGGTATAAATACAAAAGTTGTACAGTTTTGGCTTAAATTTTAGAAACCACGGTCAGAAACAAAATTTGAATGCAAGAAATGTGAAATAATGCATGCTTTCAGCTTTTTTCAAATGGGATGCGTTATATTTAGTTCTATATTCTTGAAGAGCACAATTTCCCGATTCCAAAACTATATAGTTTGTCTACATTTGGTTGAGCCGTCTCCAACATTTGGTTCTAAAAATTTTGAAAATACTATCAGAGAAACTAAGTAATGTTTGTTTCACCAGGGTTTGTACTTGCCACCAGCATTTGCCTTCCTTGTTTAACAAATAAAAATTGACTGAAACAAATCAATGACGTCAAAAACGTTCGTCGGTTCTTAAACCAAAAGTCATTCATTTTAATTTGTCAAAAAAATTGAATGTGTCATTGAATTATTCTACGACAATCCTTTTTTTTCAAGTTTCAAGGTCAAGTATGAACCCTGGTGAAACGAACCTTACTTCTAATTTTACCTGCAGGTAGAATGGTTCACAAAATCAGTAATAGGATAGTCTTTTTACAATTTTTGGAGCCGAATATATGAAAGATTGCTCAATCAAATATACATAGGCGCAACTAGGGGGGTGCTTGGGGGTGCTAAGCACCCCCAAAACAGAAATTAGCACCCCCATTCGGCATTTCACCATTGCACTACCTAAAACTAATATAAAAATTTAGTGCAACCAAATTATTTATAATTTTTTATAAGTCATATCGTCTGTTATAAAATTTTAGTGCGTTGGACTTTCGTGGCATGCAGACGTTTCAATTAATTATATACTGTATTTTTTTTGCACTTTCTGTACGTACTTACGTCATCGATGACGTCATAACTTGGAAAAAAGGGTTTGTTGAATAATTTATAGAGCACATTCGGAATTATTGTTTTGTTATAAAAAAATTAACTTAGAATAGAGTTCATTTGAGTCATCCGCAAATATCTAAATTAATTAACTGCGTATTATACAGGGTGTTCCATCATGTACAAAGGGAAAGGGGTGATTCTTTGTTTTTTTTTCATGACTGAAATTTCAAATAAACATATCCCTCAAAAAACGAGGGGGTAACAACTAGTGGCAATACATCACAAAGCATTACATGTGCATTACGACGCATTACTGCAGAATTACTGGCATTACGATGGCATTATCTGGCACCATGAGACATTACTCGGTATACCCAGGGATTATGCTGACATTACAAGGCATTACTACGAATATCGCGGAATTACGCTTGCATTCAATGGAATAATGGTTGATTTTTAGCCCTGGAATTTTCCAAACATTCACGGAGAGATCATATTTATATTACCAACACCAACCCCAATATTAAAAATATCTTTGGGAAAGTTTGAGTATCTAAAAAAGTAAAATAATTTCAAATATACAGGGTGAAGCAAAACAAAGTTACAGTAAAATATGTATTTGTTTTAAATGGGAGACCCTATATATTATAGGTCTGTTCACACAGAAACCACAAACCAGTTAGAGCGAATTTCATTGGTAGAAAATAGTCAGAAAACTTGTATATTCTTAGCGATTTGCACAGAAAAAACAACTGAAAATAGGAGAAAACAAGTTTCACTTTCCTGTCCTCACTTGACTACTTGATAGCTACTCAAAGGTTGTTAAAACGGTGGTACCAAATTTGGTAGGTATCCATAATACCATCATCGAGACTTCCATAAGTACCACCATTATCAAAAAAGCTATTGAAATATTATGATTTTTTTTGTGTGTCCATCCAAAAATAACATAATCAGTCATATGCATACCAGGTATAGCAAAATGATTTTACTCTACAGCATCTCTTTTTGCTGCACTAAAGCTGAATATGTTTATCTCAAAAAACTTGAGTGGAAGCATTTGCTCCCGTTTTATTCGTATGAACCAATATATGTCCTATAGGGTATCCTATTTCAAACAAATACCTAAAAATTCTACTGCAACTTTTTTCTGGCTTACCCTGTGTATGTGAAGTTATTTATATTTTATAGATTCTTGTTAACCTTACAACTTTGCTATACATGTAATGAATTAAAATGTCTAATAATGACTACCTACATAATTAAATTTTTGAAAAATGATCTAGAAAATTTCGTAAGGCCTCACAACAATGACGTACAATCTATAGGACAAGGCCTACATTTTTTATGAATCAATAACAATCATTAGATCAGAACCATTTCAACTGTTGAGCTAGGATAAATCCAGAAATAAAATATTAACCTATAATGATTAATAAACTAATAAAATTCTAACCATTAAAAAACTCTGCCAATATGCAGACAATGTTTAACAGTAGGAATTAAGAAGTTAAAACCGAGGTTAATACGGTTTTTGTAAAATAAATTAAGTACGGGATAAATTGGCATTTTATTCAGATTTAGGGCCGGTTTATTCGCCTTCTGATAAATTGTCAGGTTTAATAATAATTTATTCAATATTTTAAGTATACATAATAACAGTACCTATGCAATCTGACATCTCATTGGTCGGCCAGTTATCCATCAACCAATAGAATTATAGAACGATAAATTTATCTTGTAGAGTTACCAGCAAGTTTATATGAAGATGAATAAACCGCGCCTCAGAAAAATAAGTACGAAAGTACCTATAGAATAATGATAAATGTACAAACTATAGGATGTGATGTTTTTTGTTTTTTTTCAACTACATATTAAGTACCTATAATGGTTTATTTTTCTGGTCCAGTAACGTAAAATTCAAAGTAAAACTATTGCATGTAGCCTAATAAAGGTATACACTTGGGTATACATTACCATAATGGCATTACATGAAATTACTGCCATTATGATGGCAGTACGATGGTATTACATTGAAATTACCGGAATTATTCAAAAAAGCATGTAATGCGCAATACATATATAAATTTTGGTCCAGTTGTTATTCCCTCGCTCAAAAATTGCAGAAGCTATAAAGAAAAAACTAAAAACATATTGAAATTTAAACACCCTGTAGATCGGTAAGGGAGCGGTTGCGGACCAAACAATAAATGACTGAAATAAATTAATGACGTCGTAAACATTCGTCGGTTCTCAAAATCAGGGCTTGTATTCTCGTAGCCGGGGAACAGAATTGACCTGTCTTTGTCAGTATTATGGAAATAACAATATGGACGACCAAGACAGAGAAATCGTTCTTTTGAGAACGCTGTTTCCCGGTTACAAGAATACGGGCCCAGAAGCCATTCATTAAATTTGTCAAAAAAATTAGGCACTAGCTGACGTCACACACATAACCTCATTTATGTTGGGGAATAAACAAAGCGTCACATGACGTAACGTCACTTTCAAGGTGTGTGACGTCAGCTAGTACCTAATTAACACGTTGACTGCCAATGGGTAACATGGTTATGCTACCATGTGGGCCAAAAAATTAAACCCTATCATTTGTCTTGAAACTTGTTATTATCCCCCCAAAAAAACATAATTTATGTTTTTAAACTTTGCAGTGTCATTTTTTGACGTTTTTTCCTGTCATTCATATATGAATGACGCGGCCCTACCATAAAAAATTAACTTTAATTATCGTTTTTTTCTGTGGAGGGGCCACGTCATTCATATATGAATGACAGGAAAAAGCGAAAATTACCTGATAATTTTCTTTCTTCTCAACATTACCAAGGACTTAAGAATAAATATGCCAGTAAAAATAGATAATTCGACCCATATAAATGTTCGTTTTTATTTTATTTAGGGAAAATCTGTATTACATACCTAACTCTGGTGCCTGTTCAGATTTGGCCAGGCCATGTATGCCTATAGATTCCTTACAGGCCACAGTATAAAACTGCAATGCTAATCTCCGCTAACATCATTCATATGCGAACGACGCGGCCCAATAGTACAAAATCAACGTCATTCATATATGAATGACACATCGTTTATTGAAACAGTACCGTCATTCATACATGAATGACATGGCATTCAACGTGTTAATCTACGATAAACTAAACCCTGTTTTCGAAGTTATCGATGACATAAGTACAAACCTTCGTGCAAGGAACTATATGTTTGTTTGAAATTTCAGACATAAAAAAACTTATATGTTAAAAAAGGAATGCAAATGATGACGTAAGAACAAACCCTCGTGAGACAATGTTTTTTTACGCGCGTCATTACTTTTCATCAAACCCCACCAAAAGTGCTATAGCACACCTCAGATTTGGTGCCTAGTTGCGCCTATGCAAATATAGATCGGGGCATTGTGCTCTTCAAGAATATAGAATTAAATATAGGAAAAAGCTGAAAGCATGCAAAATTTCACATTTCTGATATTCAAATTTTGTTTCTGACCATGGTTTCTAAAAATTCAGTTAAAACTGCACAACTTTTGTATTAATACCTTGCTTCTATCTGTAAAGGTAAAGGCTGTAGGTGGGGTGTCAATATATAAAAAAAAAACACCTTGTACAAATAAGTGGATTATTGCGGAACTTATGGGTGGACCTCTGCGGGACGAGCACACCGAGTTCCGCAGCGATCCACCCATTTGTACTTGAACAATAAGTTATAGACGTACTAAAGGAATGTTTTAGCAGCCATCTCCTCACCAACATACCGTTGAACTGTTCAAATAAGACACTGACCTCGATCATCACAAATTTCTGCATCTTATTAGGACTACCTTCGTATTCGGAAATTCTATTCTGAATCTCTTTAATGTTTTCTATTTGAACTGGATCGCTGATTGCTTCGAGTAGACTTGACCTGATTTCTTGAGGACTGGACTAATATTATCGTAAGCCTCTCTTAACGATCTGGCTATTTCCTTCAAAGAATTTCCAATATCAGGTTTCTTTATTGCTAGCTCGTCAATATATAGTTGATATAGGGCTAGCAATATGACTATGTGAGCATCAGCAGCTTTGTATTTAAGCTCCCCAGCCAGAATTTTCGATACAGTAGTTGGAGAATATAACCCTTCTTCTATCCAGGCTTGATCAATACCACTTCTTTCTATGTATTTTCGAAGGGCTGCCAAGGTCCACAACACAATGTGAAGTCCATTGGGTGCTTATTCTTGAAAGTGATAGATGGGAGTATCCCCGGGAGGGATACTATTCACCCAATCAAAATGCAGCAGTTTTTGAATTTTGACAGACGAAACATTGACCTAACCTCTAGGTATACGTATACTCGAATTTGATTATGCTGTTTCTTTTGGTGAAGTGTTTTTTTTCCAGATTAGCAAGTAACAAAGATATGCAATATATCTTCATAGCTCACTATTAAGTAGGTACTAATATTGGTTGAAAAAATATTGTTTTAGTTGCTTATTCAATATTTCTATCAGTTCTTTGTTTTAGAAATTCATCAATCAAAATTATAACTGATTTTTCCTTGGCCAGGGTCAGAGAGAAATGGAAAATTTAGGTGGTGAAAAGTCCGCCTCTGTCGATTAAGCAAAAGCAGACACTAATTGAAACAGCAGGCCGGAAATGTACCGTACCACTTTTTCCTCCACCTACACATATGCTACTAGTGTCGTATTATGGAAGTAAATAACGAAAATCAAGGACATCTCGAGGAATGTTTATTTGTTCTAGGGTATCTTCCACATTTTCCACTATAATGCTCATTCTTCTGTACTCTACCTGACGAAGTAGCACTGATAATGGCCTAATGAATATTGAATTTTGCAACAAATATACAAGTTTCATTCTTCTCCGATTTTGCGTGAATGTAATGATGAATATAAACTGGTTGTAAGTATAATCGTCAACATCCATATTTTTTTGTTATGAATTTAATATTAAACACAATAATCAAAGAAATCACTATTTATCACTTTCAACACTTTCAATTCAACACAAATTGTACTAATTGTAGGTTAGAAAACCAGGGGATATTCATCTTCTCTTGGGTCTAGCTAAGGGAGCGCTTTACTTTCCTAGGGAGCCATTTTAACTTCCTAGGGAGCAGCTCCCTCTCTCAACTTCGTCTCAAGAATACGGTTTTGTTAAAGCTACGACCACTCCTCTTACCTGTTCTACTCCCTACCCGTCATATTGATGAATAGATGGCTGCGGAGGTCCACCCATAAGTTCCGCAACAATCCACTCGTTTGTACTTGAATAACTTGTTACATTATATTACGTACTAGTTTGGTAAAGTAACATTACTAATTCCTGTTAAAAGGCAAATTGACAAAAAGTGGATAGTCTTACAAATTCTGACTTTATATAATAAGTTATTGTTCAAGGTTCAAGTACAGGGTGTTTTTTTATATATTAACACCAATGACATCCCACCTACAGCCTTCACCTTTACAAGTAAGTAGATGAAAGCTGTAAATACAAAAGTTGTACAGTATTTGCTAAATTTTTAGAATCCATAGTCAGAAACAAAAATTGAATGTCTGAAATGTGAAATGTTGCATGCTTGCAGCTTTTTTCCAATGGGATGCCCTATATTTGGTTCTATATTCTTGAAGAGCACAATTTCCCGATTCCAAAACTATATAGTTTGTCTTTATTTAGTTGAGCCGTTTCCAACATATTTGGTTCTAAACATTTTAAAAATACTATCAGAGAAACCAAGTAGGTACCTCAAATTTTACCTGCAGCTTTCACCTGTAGGTACAGGTAGAATGGTTCACAAAATCAGTAGTAGGATAGTATTTTTACAATTTTTGGAGCCAAATATATGAGAGACTTCAATCAAATATAGACAAACTATATATTTTTGGAATCGGGGCATTGTGCTCTTCAAGAATATAGAATGAAATATAGGGCATCCCATTGGAAAAAAGCTGCAAGCATGCAACATTTCACATTTCAGACATTCAAATTTTGTTTCTGACCATGCATGGTTTCTAAAAATTCAGCCAAAATTGTACAACTTTTGTATTTACACCTTTCTTCTACCTGTAAAGGTAAAGGCTGTAGGTGGTGTGTGAATATGTATATAGATCAATATCAATGTGTATATCCTATTCACAATCTGTAGTCCAAAAATACAGGTAAATTTATCATTTTTCCCTATCAAATAGTATTGAAAGGTGATAAATTTTACCTGTACCTTTGGACTACAGATTGTGAATAGATAATATAAAAAAACACCCTGTACCTCCACTTGATAAAAACTTTTCCTTTCACTCATCATCATTGAAAATTTTGAAACTGCTGAATCTGGAAGTAAGAGTGGATCTGGGGTTTTTGAAAGATACTTCAAATATCATAAAAGCCACTCCAAGTCCAACCTTTCTATAGAGCTAGTGTTCTTTGGATGGATTATTCTCAAATTTGGAGCCGAAATCTATGAAAAAAGGCACTCAGAAAAATTGAAAAGCTAATATAATCACCCCAAGTTGCTTAACACGATTTGATCTCAGGAACTATAAGTCCAAATGAATTGAAATTTACAGGAATTGTAGTCCTCAACTGGAATAAAAATCGGTGAAAATTGCAGCTTCCTATCTTTAATAGAAAAACATTTATCACCTTTCAAAGTTTTCCAAAATTTAAATCATAAGCATCTTACTAAAACGATAAAATTTCTAAATTTTTTCTTTTGAGATTTTGTGTCCTAACTCCTAATGGCCATTTGGGATCCCCCAAACTCTATATACTAAATTATTCTCAGATTTGAAGCCGAAACCTATGAAAAAAGGCACTCAGATAAATTGAAAAATTGATAAATCACCCCAAATTGCTTAACACGATTTGATCTCGGGAACTAAAAGTCCAAATGAGCTGAAATTTTCAGGAATTGTAGTCCTCTTCTGGCATAAGAATTTTGGATGATTTGAAAACTGCTTTAGAAACTACGAAAATCACTTTGAAGCAATATTTTCCACAAGAAAAGCTTTCAAAGTTGCTCAAGAAGCTTTAAATTGAAAATAAAATAATAACGTGAGAATTATATCAGCTGTTTTGGAACTTGCTTCAAATCCTTGTTAAGTCATTTTGAAAACTTTGAGATCAATTTTTGAAACTTGAAGTTATAATTTCTGGAATACATTTCAAAAAGAGAGCAGGCATTTCAAAAGTTACTTCAAAAGTATTGAAAGTTCCTTCAAAAGCTTTAAGTGAATGAATGTTTCTTCTATTATGAACTTTCCCATATAAGTAATCGTGTTCGTTTACTATAAATAATTCTACTTACAATATTCAACCATGTATCAGGATCAACTTGCACATCCAGAATGATAGATTTTAGATAATCCCAAATTATTTCCCAAACCTTTTTCTCCGCATCATCTTTCACCGTTTTGATGTTGGCCACAATGAAAATCACTATCGCTGTTATCACTATTCTCATTCTATTGTCAGTATTTTTAGGATCAAACAAAACATTGCTGATGTACGCTCACACTACAGTGATTTTTTTTCTTGTGAACATTATTAATTTGTTTATAATTTTGGATAGACTTTGACCTTATTTGAATTTCCGCGTAAGTGTCCTAAAGATTCTTTGTTGATAAAAGAATTGACAATAGTTAATATCTATTTAGTGTGACCGATAAATATTAATATATTGAGCCCAGCTTTTCAAATTTTTAAGTACCTCCTTATCTTTGTTTGAATTATAATTTGTAAACAACAAATGGGTGGATTTGATTAGTGATATTTCGATACCTATACATACAATGTTTTCCATAAAAACAGAAATAAAGCAAAAGTGAATTTATGCAATACCTACTAATATGATTGATCTTTTTTCGTACAATTCTGATACTTACGATATTCAATCCAGCATCTTCATCAATATGAATCGTATGGGCCAAAATTTTCAACAAATCCCAGATAAGTTGCAAAAAAGTGTGGATATTACTACCAGCGGCAACATCGTTTTGCAAATTTCCTGCATTCGCATTGGTAGCAACCAGAAAAACCAGTCCAAAGAACAATAAATAATTCATGGTTGAAGCACTATTGAATCCAAATGATGAACTAATACCTCGAACAGTTAGGTTTTCTTAATTGGATTACAAGGTCAAAGTTTTCCCCTTTGTAGGTACTTACTTCGAGTGACTCCTTATAGATTAAGAGTGTATCAGTCAATTACTGTGCACCTGCGATGATAAGACAAAAGTTGGTTTTTATTTATTCAAAAATCAGACCATGTTTGGAGCAATGAACACACAATGGAAAAGATCCTAAATATCTAGAAGACTCGGTCCAGAAGACCGGAGTATTTAAAGACACTGATTCTAAGTACTTCAGTCATGAATTGGGACTTAGAGATTAGTCAAGGGATTCAAGATTCGCGACTCAAAACTCTAAAGGTTCTAAAGACGCAACACTGGATAATGTAAATCGTCAAAAATTCAGAACAAAGAATGCTAATCTGCGTTAGATTATTGTACTGGCCATTGAAAAATGGTAGCTTAATTTGAGGTAAGTAGATATCACGTGGTTTCTGGATTGAAGTTTTCTGCATACTAATTTTGCTGTCCAATTCTTCTAGATTCGCTCAAACTATTTCTCATTGTCCTTATCCTTGGTTGATCCAGATACTGTACTTGTTCAATCTACTCTGCAACTGAGAGATTACCTCCCAGTTGATTGAGTTTTCTTTGATGTATGGGAGAAATATACGAGAGAGATTGGCAAGATAGAAAATGCTGACGATTGCTGACTAGAAGGCGTAGAACGCTATGAAGTTGCCTCCTATGATGATAAAAAATCATGTCTAGTTAACTTAGTTGTGCCTGGCACCTGATAAATTACCATCCAATTAAATTGTAAAAAAATTTCATTGTTTTCCTTCCCCCATTATCCTTGCACATTATTATAGGAATTTCCTTGGATATATCGATTCAACCTGAAAGCCCCAAACGATATCGTGACTATGGCATTTCAAACCGTGAAAAACGCGAAAATTTTCCTCCTATTTTACATTGTATATAGAGGCAATTCCCTAAACAGTGCTTCATAAAGAGGTTGGCTATTTTTATCCATCGTAAATAGAGTTGTAGTAAAATTATTCGAAAATAATGTGTGAGTATGGAAGTGCCTTCTCAACCAACCGAATCAGTGACATCAGGCAATACTGAAGAAGACTGGGAAATATTTGAAATTTTGTGCAAACCAGATACTGCCGTAGTCAAGGTAAGTAGGTAATTTTTGCCACTAGCTTAAATTAGGTAGGTTTTATATTAGGTCACATGCTATTTTACTATAGCAAATAAATTAGCTATCTATATCAAACATCCGTGCCAAGGCACAAGATAACACACGATCATCTTTTTGTATTGATTTTGATTTTTGTCACAATTCAAGTTCCAGTTTTGTCGCGACAGCTTCAGCTTCATTCTACCATTTCTTTGTACTCTCCAGTTGATTCATTTATATCAAGTGATGCTAATTCAAATAGCAATTATTGCACATTATTGATTTCTAAAACCCAGTTTTTGCATAATGTTTATTACTCGCAGTCACGCAAAGACCAATTTGTTTTTCACTAAAATACTATCTGTAGTGGGTAAGTAGGTACACCCTTGCCTACTGATAATTTTAATGCAAAATATAATTATTTAGATGGAAGAACAACAAGAAATCGATGTAACAACGTCTCTTAGAAGTGAATTGGCAGCATTGCAATATAAAAGGGATCGTCTCACTCAAGAAGTGGAAGAAATGAGGTCGCAAGTCAGATCACGCGATCAGCACTGTTTAGAACTGCAAGTGGAAGCTGATCAGCTGAGAGAGCAAGCTGCAAGGCAAAATTCTATAATATGTTCGTTGAAGAAGCGAGTGCACGAGCTAGAGGAGAGAGAAAGAAATTTGTTTGCTGCGCAAGGGAGAAACGAGATTGCTTTGCAAACTGCGCAGAGAGATGTTAGGTAATAATATCTTAATACCTGGTTAGTGTGTTGTCGATCCCTTAATTGTAATTGGTTGAAGTTTTGTTTGGGATTGGATCTACCAAAACAGCTTCGTATATTTTTCATGTTATGACAAAGAAAGTCAATCTCAAATGTAAGTACCCAATACTATAAGTAGGCATAACTGGAGTTGTTATTAGACTCCATAAAGTAACACCTTTTTGTAATGTCCTGAAGATGCAATAATAAATTATGAAACGTTGACAATCTGGAATAACAGACTTGTGTGTTCGCAATCTAATCCCAAATAAAAACTCAACCAATTAATAATATCATAATCAAAAAAGCTGATATATTAATGAAATTTTCAGATATAGCGAAGAAAAAGCAAAAGAACTCGAATCCAAAGTGCGACACTTAGAAATCGCTCTGAATGCCGAAGAGCAAAAAAAAGAAACAGCCAGATTACAATTCCACGACTTCGTACGAAGACTATCAGTGGCTTTGGGAGCTGATTTCAGCGAGACCTCATCGCCCGAAGCTCTAGTTCATAAAGCTTCAGAATTAGTTCAGGAAACGTCGAGACTCAGAAACAAAACTCACAACATCACTGACACTTTGGGCTCAGTGGAACTCGATTTAAGAACATGCCGAGAGAATTTCGATAGGACTTTGTCGGACAAGGAATGTCTACAGCGCCAAGCGGCAGCTCAAATATGCGAAATCGAGCGATTGAGGCAAGAAAAGGAGGCGCTGGAAATGCAAAATCGTGTCGTTGAAAGGGAATTGAGCGAGCTGAAGGAGAAATTGTCGATTTCTAATAGAAGTTTGGGGTCTGCTAGTGGCAATATTGCACAGCAAGAATCTATTATTTGTCAACTTAGAGGTAAAGCCAATTATATTTTTCGTTCAGTAAATCTTGTTTTTAAAAACTATTTATTTTATTGATGAAAACTAAGAAGTTACATCAAAAAATACTCTAATTGCTGCGGCAAAAGCCGATAACAGAAGAATCTTGATTCTTATTGCTGAGTCTAAGCTAATAACAAGAGAATGAGCTGAAAGGCTCCGCGCGCCGTATTTATATTAAAATACTGCTGATGCTTGCATTTGTATGGGCGAACCTTGATGTGACGGTACTTTTCCAGGCAGTATCCCTTACTCAGCATCTTTATATCGTGGGCTCTACAGTGGCGTAAACCTATATTAAACATTGAAAAAGGGAATTATTTGTATAATAATAACATAGGGTTTTATAATATAACTAGCCCATCTATCAGGAACTAATTTCATAGTATGACGTTTTTTATAGATGAAATCAAAGCTAGAGATGAAAAACTCATAAGACTGCAATCTGAACACAAGCACACTTTAGAATCACTTGCTATTCAACTGAGTACTCCAACTAGATTTGTGGATTCTATAGAAATAGCCATCAAAGAAAAAATTCATGAACTACTATCAGATAATAATGAAAAATCGGCTGTAAGTATTTGACAGCAAATGACTCATCCACTAAACAAGTTTTTTTTAGCAAATAGATAACTTAAGAGATAAACTCAATCACGAATCTCAACAATTATCCAGACAAATTTCGCTGTACGATCAAGCCAATACGAAAATCCGCATGTTGGAAGACGAAAAAAACCATTTGGAAAATAGACTGCACAAAGCTGACACTGATATAAATGCATGTGAATTATCTAGAGACGGACTGAAAAGAGATAAGTGCACTGTAACTGAAAAAAGTCAGCAATGAATTCAAGTTTTAATTGATTGAATTTTAGTTTATGAATTTCCTGGAACGTTTGGCTCGAGCTTTAAATATGGATGAAATTTCACACGATATTGGAGTGGAACTGCACACTGAATCCTTGCTCCTGAGGGCAGAACAGCTGGCAAGATTGGAAAGTGACAAATTAGTAGATAAGGTAACTAAACACTCAGTTAATTTTGAAAATTATAATTTTTTCTTTATAAAGCTGCTTTGCTGCGGATACGGAACGTTACCCAGACTAAGTTGCATGAGACGAGAACGTTCCTTTCATGACATACCATTAAGAGATGTAAGAATAAAAATTCTTGCTAAAAATTCATTTAAACATATTCACTTTCATGGTATGATCATAGTAGATTCATAAAATGGTACATTTTTTAATGCCAGTCTAATAAAACTTCAATTTTCAGACCGCCATGGTATATCAGCTTCAAAGGAGAGTGCGCACTCTACGAGAACAAGTCCAAAGAAAAGATCTTCACTTGGATCTGTTGAGAAGGAAATTGACCTTGCAAGAAGACACCGTCAAAACCAAATGCTTATTGCAAAGCGAACGGGATGAAGCTAATTCCAGAGTCAAGAAGCTGGTAAAACAAGTGGACAGATTGCAATTGCAGCTGAATGAAGCTAAGATGCAAATTAGGGAGTTGAATAGTCAATTAGCTGAAGCTGCTGATTATAAGGTAATTGTAATAAACAAAAAATTGGTATCATTGTGAATTGTTTTATAGATAACAGCATTGGAGAGGGCTAGGAAAATTGAAGAGCTTCAAAAAAAGCTCATAGACTCGGAAACTATACGAACCAAGTATAATAGGAAAGTGACGTTGCTCAAAGAACAGATTCGTCATACAGGAGAAACTATAGATCAGGAGAGGAACATCAGTGGACATTCTTTGCAATTATTGAGGTACAGTTGCACATTTTCAGAGATACTGTATTTTATCTTTAGGGTTTTTCTCCAAAACTGATCTAAATTCTAAAGCACACAAGCATGTTTCATGCTTCTATAGTAGAATAGATTAGTTTTTGGTTCTCAAAATCTATGATTAGTTCAAAATTGCTTCGAAATCTCTATCTTGATTTTTAGATTCATGATGCTCTTATTTTGATCTATCGAATCATGGCTGCTTTTGATGCTTTCTAGTAATGGTATTGGATTTATTCCTAGAGACCATGGTACCTATGTTTTTTTCCTCGATGATAATATTACTTAACCTTGTCCTCTGGAAATGGATGGTTTTTGACTCTTCATTTGGTTCATCAGTTGATGCACCATTCCGGAATCAAAACCATTTTTCTCTGAGCAACAACTCTTGGCAACATCCGCTTCCAGTTAGCTTGTTTTTTACGGGCAAAGGTTTCTTCCTTTCGAGTAACTCTGACCCAGTCACAGCTTGAATCATCTTGTGAATCAGTACATCTTGCGCCAGATTCCATCGATGAACAGTTGTCTTTGACATCCATTTACTTTGATTATACATAGTTTTTGAACTTGTAGTCGAAAACATTGGAGACGTATCCGACTATCCTGAGTCTGTAGCTTTGTTGATTCACTTAATTCTCTGAATAAGAATTTTCTATTCCAGAATCTACTTCAGATATTCAGTTTCTTGTATAAAGCTGATCTGATGTTGATGGCTTTCGCTATCTTGCGCAAAAGGAGGAAAGGACTGATTGAAATGTGAGAACTTTTGGTTTGCTTTTGCTTGGCAAAACATGTTTTTCCAAAGTACGGCAACATCATCTAAATTTCCTAAGGAGTGGCGTAATTTTTAATTCCGTTATTCCGTATCACGATTGCGTAGTTTTCTTGCTGTTTCCTCAATTCAACTTCATAATTTGTTCTGTATATGGTTTGATGATAGACCCAGTGTAGAAGTTCAATATAAGCTAGTTTTGTTTATTTGAAAGCAACAATATAAACTTGCTACCATTACAGGGACGAATTGGCACGTGTAAAAGACCAACTCTCCGAATTCCAACGTCGCGAATCCCAACTACAAAGCTTCAAACACTCCATAGCGAAAATCCTAGGCGTCGTCCTACCGATGCCAGATTACGAACTAGTCTCAAGACTGCAAAAACTGGTCGACGCGCATCACGATTTCACAATAGTTTCGCGCAGATACGACGATCCAGTTTTGAGATTGACTGCCAGATCGCCCACGGGCGGTTCCAGGATATCTAGGACTCCTGATAGGTCGCGGTATGATGATTCTGGATATGTGGATGCGGTTGATTTGGATAATTCCGATGAGGATTTGTACAAGAGGCAATCGAGAATTTGACGAACAACGTTTAAAGATATTTAGGATGTAATCTAGTTGTACACTGCCAATTATATAAATACAATGCTTATATATGTGAAATTTTTGTATTACAGGGTGGAAATAAAAATTATATGTTAACTGTATAATTTTATTCATTAAAAAATATTCAAATCTGCTCTTAAAACTATAACATAATATCATTGATATGTATCATTAAAAATATCATTTACAGCTATTGCACAGCAATTCCAGCTCTTTCCTTAAACTCGTCATCATTAACAATAACAAAATCCTTCAACAGATCTTCCTTATCGACAATCATTTGTATATCAAGCATGGCCCTTTCAAAAATACCATCTTCATTGTTTTCAACAGCCTTCAAAATCCCTATTAAATCCATTAGTATGTTTTGTTGGTCTTTTAATTTTTCAATAACCTTATCAATAATTTCAACAGATGGGTGATCTGAGCATAGATCTTTAATCAAAATTGATATATCAGCTACCGCAAAGGCCACTGACAAAACTCCTGAGATTCTAGCAAAATTTGCAATAAGAGAAGGCACAGTTCTGCCAGTAAGGCCTAATATGTTATAAATAAATTGAAAGCTTTTTTCAGTCATGTGAAAAGTTTTTCCAATCACTGGCAAAGTCTCTGCAGCAATATGCTGTATATGGTGCAGCTTAACAGCAGTGCTTAAGGAAGATATCACTTGATTGTTGGGTTTTTCCATTATGTTTATCACCCCTTTAGCAATACCTTCAATAATTGTCGATATAGCAATATCCCTGCTCAGACCTTCATCCATTAGCTGAGTGATACACTCATTGAAGTGGGCAAGACTTTTTTGCATCCACAAATCAAACATTTCCTTTTCTTTTAGGAGCACATTGATGTCTTCCATTATATTAGCAGAGGTCTTGTAGTCAATGTAATCTGTAAGGGCGTTTGTTAAGCTTCCTGTCACTGACATAACAGCACCACCTAGAATTGAATAATGATTCCATTATTTTTATTCCATCATGAGTTTTATTTGAAGACAAAACTGATTAGGAGATGAAATGATATATGAGATATTGAATTGAAAATTACCTGCTCCAAGCATCAAAGAACTTCCAGCAGTAAATGGAGCCCACCACAAAGAGCCAATAACCAAAGCCACCCCAGTACTACTGACAACAGTACCAGAAACTTTGGCACAATTGCTTTTGTAATGATGCTGCTCAGCCCCCTTTTTAATTTCATAAAACTTCTCTAGAATTTCTTCAATTTTTTCAATGTAATCTTCCAAAAAGCCTCTGTAGTGTTTTTGGACCGGGCAAGGTGCAGAATCTTTTGGTAATTGAGGGTAAATCGAGGGAGTAGCGGGTAAGCTTGGTGGGCCTGAATGTGAAAATTGTGGTGAAGAAAGAGGTTCAAGGGGTGGCAGAGAATGGAATTCTGGCTCGGATTTGGAGTCAACCTTTTTGCGTATCTTTTCAGCCATGGTCAGCTATAGGCAAAATATTGCTGTTAAAATAATTATATTATTCGTAACTTTGCTTGTGACCTTACCCGATTTAACTGCGACGCAATAGAGCTATTTTAAGCTGACAACTTAAAAACTGTTTTAATTAGATATATATATTAACTTGGTAATTAATTGGATATGTTTTTATCACGCTGATGTCATTAATTTAATGAAATAATGAGAAAATTACAAAATAAACACAAAGAATTTTAAGAAAACAAAGACAAACGGAAACAGCTGGGCTGATTAGCTTGACTTGAGAATCGAAAATAGTTTTCAACGGATGCGTTCGATAACGTGTAAAAATTAAAGTATGCTGCCATCTCTTGTAGTGTATTACAAACAGTAGGATCAAAACCTGTAAAACGTAGGTACCTAAAAGTGGTACTGCACCGCACTACATGCTTAAAGTAGAGCTTTACACTGAGTGTTGTGAAATTAGGTACTTTATGGCAATCTGAAAATTTAAACTTTGTAAAGTAATTTTTCTTTCGTTGACTGCTTTTCGCTTAAATAAATAACTATTCACAGATTGATTGAAACACTTTAGGAAATACTACAAGACATTTTATTGTATTTGGTAAAGTGTCACTTTACAAAACAGACGTGTAAAGTAGTAGAAGTTACTCTAGTAGGTACTTTATCAAAGAATATCTTAAGGAAATGTTAGCAGAACTTATAGGACAAATTTACACTATTTCTTATGAGATTCCAGCAAGATTATTGGAGGGTCTTTATTCGTTATTTTTGTTTCATTCATTATTATCTTCAAGATTATAATATCCTTGTTTGACTCAAACATCATCCTCTTCACTTTCATATTACCTACTTTTTCAGCAACTTCATCTAAAAATGCTGACTTCATTTTTTGTTGATTTAGTCAGTGACGGTGCGTAAATGTGCTGAGCCCCTAAGCAAATAGGTATTACAGATGCCTCTGATGAATTTTGGAAGAAGAAATTTTGATTAATATCAACGAAATAGCTGCTAATGATCATTAGAAATTTTCATTATAATCGGGTCTTGAGCTTCAAATGCCCTTAGAAAAATTCTCAAGCGAATCCAGAGTTGATAAAAGTTCAAATGTTGACTATTACCGGCTCTTAATTGGCTCTAGGGAGGTTTTCCAAGGAATCAAGATCCGGTAATAGTTCAAATTTTGATTATCTGTGGCTCTTGATCCATTGGGTCATTTTTCTAGAGCCAATTAGAAACTGCAGAAGAAGCAATTTTGAATAATATCAACATAAAAGCTGCTAATGATCATTAGAAATTTTGATTATTATCGGCTCTTGAGCTTTGAATGCCCTTAAAAAAGTTCTCTAGCGAGTCCAGAGTTGATAAAAGTTCAAATTTTGACTATTACCGGCTCTTGATTGGTTCCAGGAAAGTTTTCCAGATAATCAAGAGCCGGTAATTTCAAATTTTGATTATCTATATGACTCTTTTATTTTTATTCCTAACCCTCGATTTGTACGCTATCAACTGCAATGAAACAGACTATAGAAATGCAAAATCGTGTCGACGAGAGGAAATTGAGCGAACTGAAGGAGAAATTGTCGATTTCTGGGGTCTGCTAGTGGCAATATTGCTCAGCAAAAGTCTAGATTGGTCAACTTTAAAGGTAAAATATTAACGAATCTTGCTTTATATTGTGAATCTATCAGAAACTTATTTTGTATGTATAATTATGGTGTTTTTTGCAGATGAAATCAATGCTAGATGAAAATTTCATAAGACTGCAATCTGCACTCAAGTACATCTTAAAATCACTTGCCATTCAAATGAGTAGGTATTCTAACTAGAGTTATGGATTCTATAGAAATAGTTTTTGGTTTTTCTTCCATTACAGTCTCTTGATTCTTGATTGATTGATAATAAGCATTAACTCTGACTCGCTTCTTAGGTTTTCAATATCATCCAAATCTGAATCATTAGAAGATTATTATTGGCTTCCAGTGGTCACTTAATCTTTCAGAATAATCACTGGAAGAAGGATTTATAGTTTTTCTATCAATTTTCCCTTTTGTACACCTTCATTACATTCAACAAATAAATAATTCACTCTCATTATAGGTACCTACTGAAGGAAAAATCACTTCCCAACTTTTGCATTAAAACTCCCTCTAAATATTTTCTATGGATTAATAAATACTTTCTCATACTTTCTGGGGGCCTCTTTTGAACTTTCTTCGATTTATTTAATAGGTACTTTTTCTGATCTCTCTGAGCTTTCTCGGATTCCTTAGACTTAGGCTTTCTATCGTACTCTCCCAGATTGCATAAGCCTACTTTAATCTTTAGTTCCTTCCTCTATACTTTCTTAGGTGAAGATCGGAACCATCGAAATAATGTTTGACAATGTTCTAAAACTCTTGGTCTTTAGGTCTTGGCCTGCAGAAGAAACAAGACCTCTTATTAGACTGCAAGACCAAGACCGAGCAGTACAAGACTTATACAAGTAGTATTGCAAGACCAAGACCAAGACTAATCCGGTTCTGGTCTTGGTCTTGCATTTTGCTCATCACTACAGTCTGACTATAATGCTAAGCTAAATTCCTATTTTCATGAGTCTCCTTGAGAATTTGACTGTCAAATCCTGTTTCTGCATGGCGCTTCATGAAAATTAATAATCGCTGAAATGTATGCGTTAGGAAACACTATGAGAACCGGGAACAAATCCGTTGAATTTCGTCAATATCCTGGATATGTTTCCTAATCCAGGACTCCCAAATGCTAATCAAAGGCAGGTGACATAAGATACAAATCTCCAGAAAACCTCCTTTTTATCAATTTTCTTGCTGCCACCATTTCTCAGACATTCTGATTATTCAAGGTAGTCCCTGATGAGAAATCATTTTCACTAAAATGTACATAGTTAATTCGTTTGCGGATAAGTTTAATATGGATGAGGTTACAGTTTTATATCAAACATGTTTGCATACAAAAATCTGGGATATTTTGATGTTTGAGATAAGAAAATGTATATTCTTTCAACGAAACAATGTAACAACCGTAAAAAAAAATCCCCATCAATAAACTAGAACATCAAGTAGGTAGGTAGTTACCGATGGGTAGTGTTAACCTATCGCTCGGTAGGTATTCAAGACCACACTTAAAACAGCTCATTTTAGCGATCGAACGACGAGGGAGGAGAAGAAGGTATCGGGCTGATTAGTATACCTGTAAGAATTTTACGACGGGCGGCCGAAAAACAAAGCTATCGGACCTGTCAGTCGCTTGTGAAGGACCTATTTCTAAGTTAAGTGCTCTTTTTAACGAACCCAGTAATGACACGGCGGGACCGGATACCGATTCTTGGTCTCGAACCTCCCAAGGTGCTGCCAAAAAGAACCACCCGCAAACTTTTGCTATTTTCTCTGGCGGCCTTTTTTTTCCATTCTGTGACTCATTTTTGCTTCTCAATGCGAAAAAAGTAGGTACCTATTTGCCCAATTTGATTATAGTATTTACACAAACAGTGAACAGTTGGGTAGTTTTCACACGTTAGCGTCCATTTCAAACACCAGGAATGCTCTGAACATACAAAACTCGTTAATTTTTGTTTGTTTAAATGCTTTTAAGTGTACCGGATAACGTTGTTCATTATGTCCCTGGCCGTAACTTTATTATTAGAAAAGGTAGTCAATTGGACTGGTAGTGACCCATTATTATTGCAGTTAATTCTAACAGAAAATACTATATGAGGATCGAGTTGCAATGAAAATTTCAATCATACTGGCATCAGAAATTCATATTTTTCATAGTTTTCCAATTGATTATTTGATTTCCTGGATGATTTCCTACAATCATCCGATTTTCAGCTGATTTTAAACTTTTCCAAAAGTTAGCAACTTTTATTTCTATAATTATACACACCCACACCAATTTTGTTGTAAGTATAACCACGTATAACTATGAGTTGTTGAGCCTTAGATACCATTGCATGTCTACACTGCATAATTTAGATCTGGAATAATGGATATTTCTTCGATTTCACTAGGATATTCTTCTGAATCAGAGACATCTTCAGTTAGGGTTAGAATGAGATAATATTCCCAGTGATTACCAAATGATTCTCAGCAATTGCCAATGATTCCTAGGTTATTCCCAGGGACTGCCAAATGATTTCCTTGTATTCCTGATTAATAACCATTTGATTCCCTAAAAAAGGTACCAAAGGTAGAAAGAAAAATACAGCAAAAGTAGGTAAAGAAATGTTTAGTGATACATATTTTAAGACGAGAAACTTCATTTCAAGTACTTACACAAAGAAAATTATGAAGATTTAAATATAATAGAATCCAGCTGGCGGACATATGAAATTCTGTGAATATGTTTTGCCCAAACTAAACTGCACCAAATTTGAAGTTTGTGAGGAATACATTTTATTTGCAATCATATATGTAATCTTGTCATTACTGACTTTTTAAAAATTTGGAAGTGACACTTTACTTGTGTCACTTCCCTCTTCGATTTCCCTCACCGATTTCCCTATTCGACTTCCCTCGCCGATTTTCCTCACTCTAATTTATTTACCTTTGCTGGCAATAATGAGAACATGTCAGGTAAAAACGTCAAAGCAGTGAATGACACATTTTGGCATGTTTGTTTTATTTTTTTAATATTAAAAAAATTGATTGACTAATCATAATTAATGGTGTGCTTGCAAATAAAATAGTATACAAACCTCGGCAGAAAGTTTTCATTTCTGTCTCGAGATTAATAGTCAATCTCGACGCTTTGCGTCTCGATTGACTATATAAATTTCTCGACAGTAATGAAACACTTCCCTACTCGGTATGTAATATACTATTTACCTACTAGAAAAAATACCAGCATCTGACAGAGTCTGGAGAGTTTTGCTTCAGAAGAATCAGGAAGTTTGCAAAGTACCTAGATAACAACTCAAAATTCTAGATTTTGGGAGTGTTCAGAATAGAATCAGGAAATTTGTAAAGTATTAGATTATGCTTCGAGATCTTCAATAAAATTAGAAAATTTGCACAAAGTAATGGCGGAATATTCAGGATATGAAGTTTCTGAACTTTCTTCCTAACAGCGCCAAGACATTTTCAATGTTCTGGAAGTTCATTATCTCAAGATCTGGTATATGAGTCCTTTTTAGGACAAACAGAACTTTTGCAAAGCATAAAGCATCAATTGAAGATATGTAGATCTGAAAAATCTGTCATAGTCTAGAGAGTTTTGCTTCAGAAGAATCAAGAAGTTTGCAAAGTAGGTAATAACTCAAAATTCTGGGTTTTCG